TAATAATAATAATAATAATAATAATAAAACGATAATATATCTAAGGGATATAAACGTAACATAGTATTGAAAGGGATCATATTCCGAGTGGGCCCGACCAAGTCACTTTCATTTCTCAAAATCAGTGGAATCCGTGACGTGGTTCCAGTCATCATTCTCAATACAGTGTACACGTGGTCCTCTATCCAACGGTCCAAATCTCATAGAACTATTAACAATCAGTGACAACGACCCCAAATGTCATATCGACATTCCCTGAATAAATACATTAATAATAATAAATAATCATATTCATAATTTTTAATGAAGAGGAGTATATAATCATATAACTACATAATTTTAAACCATACTTGTAATAAAATATTACATGAATTGGAGATAAAGGCACTGTGCTAAGATTATAGTAGATTTTACTGCTGTATTATTAGTATAACACGCAAAGAGTTTTATTTTAAATAGTTAATATCATGATTAACAATTAAATTAGTATTTTAATAAAAGATTACTACTACAAACAATTAATGATTTGATCTTTATAATTAATACACCTATTTTTAATTTTTTTTTCCCACAAAAATCACATAGCCTATTTTTAATTAATGTTTAATATTTTATATAGGGGTATCTCAATAATTGAAAAAGCCAAAATTTTCCTCAAGAATCTGGCCCATTGACAAGCGACCTTGATATATTTATTATTTATTGTTTTATTATTATGGCAAAGGTTATCACAAGAAAGGAATCACTTTAAGCTGTAAGCAAATCAAACCAAAATATTATTATCAAACCACTTGTTTCAGTTCAATTAAATAAACAAAAAGGTTTCATCAACCTTCAATTTTTTTCTAAAATTAATTATCTAAATATGATTCATTCAATTATTTTTCTTTCTAATACTTTAATTATTAAAATTTTACATTTTTTTGGTAAAGATTAAAATTTTACTTTTAAAGATAAATAAATAAAATCTCGTAAATTTGAATTCACATTAAAATTCAAACACATATTTGACCAAAATTCTATAATTTAAAAAATTAATAATAAAATTTCATTAATACGAATCTACACAGTCAACGTGTCTATATTTAACTTATATTTTTACAACTTAAAAGTTAATAAATAAAATATCATTGATCTGAACTTACACAATCAAATATCTTAGTTAATTTATATGAAAGTAAAAAATAAATAAGAAAAAGTATTTGATTAAAAAAAGAAATATGAATATAATGAGAATTAAATAAAAAAAAGTTGAAATAAAATAATAATTGTTGGGCATTTGTGAAGCAATGATGATCCACAAAATTCCAAACAAAACCAAGGGTTTAGCCCAACTACTCCATGAAAATTAATAATTAAGACCCTTAATATGACTTTATACTTTAAACTTATTCTTATAAAGACACCCACTACTCTCTCCATCTTTCTATTCTCCCATTCCCTTCTTCAACACACCAACCCACCTTCTCCATTCTCTTCTCCGATCATGTTGAGGAAAAGACCCTCTCCAATGATCGGAAAATTGTCGGAGCTATTAGTCTCCGGTCACCGTCTCATGGACACCACCGGAAGTCCAAGAGGCCCATTCGACACAAAGATGCAATCACCAAGAGGTTTAAAAAACTACGACCTCAGTAGCGTTGGTCTCAAGATCGTTGCAGCTCTCGATAACAACAACAACAGCAGCAACAACAAAACATGTGATGTTCTTCCTAAACATGCTGTTTGCACATCAAACTTGAATCGATCAAGACCAATCCAAATTCATCTGCCAAAAACACAAACGGGTTTCAAATGGATTATGATATGAATGAAATTGACATGGAAAGTTTGGAAGAAGATGAGGAATACACATATGTCACATGTCATGTGCCTAATAAAACCTTCACTAAGGTTTATTATGATGATGGTGAAGTTCGGAGGCAACAACGTTACAACAACAACGTTGTTGGTGTTGTAAGAAGATCTGAACCGGAACCATTATTTCCGACATCAAATTTTCTTAATTCATGTCACTTATGCGGAAAGAGTCTACATGGAAAAGATATATACATGTATAGGTATTATTCATTAATAGAATTTTATTTTTTTTCACTTAATTTTTTTATGAATAGTTTTGTTTAATTATTTTGTTTTTGTTTTTGCAGAGGTGAGAAAGGATTTTGTAGCACAGAGTGTCGTTCGAGTCAAATAATGATGGATGAACGAAAAGAGAGGTGTGGTTCAGAAGAATTGTCAAGTTCACCATATACAAGGGGTCAAATATTTTCAACTGGAATTCTTGCGGTTTAACTATTGATTAATTAGTGTCTAACTCTGGATTAAGAAAATCAATAATTATCCAGAGATTGATACTGTTAAGTAAATAATAATATATACGGCTATACTATGGATAACTGTGGAATATTTGTATGAGAATTAAGATAGATAGCTCGATCGTAACCAAAACAAAAATTTTGATGAGAAATAATGAGAGAGTTAGATTATTTTTATGTAATTTCTTTTTATATGATGCTCAAGGAATCATCAATTATGAACTCGAAATCTCAATTGCTTAGATTGATTTCTGTTGTTTCTGAATTCTGTCTCAAACATGAACTAATTGAAAATAATTATATAAAAAAACATCTTTTTTGTCATGGAATTAAAATATTATCTTGGTCATCGTTTTTCATTAAGTTTCTAAATGAAAATACTTTTTTAATTTAGTTATTGACTTGTATATGTTAGTTAATTAATTACAATGTACCTTACCCTCCTCAGTTGGAACTATAACAATCTCAAGTATATTAAAGTCGGTCAAGAAAGAAATTTATGAAACTAAAATAATATACTAGTTACTTATCTATACACATAAAAAAAAAAACTTTAAATGAGATGAAAGAGTTTTCTTTCAACTTAATTAAAAAAAAAATTGCATAATCCTTTAATAAAAAGTTATCAATATCAAATCATCTAAATTACTTTAAAATATCAGTATAATTTGAAGAATAGAGACGTTTATTAAATAATAGTATAAAGTATTTATATCATTACTCTATCTCTTATTTTCATTATTTTTATTGTCATCTCTAACTCGATTGCATTATTTTTATATAAAGAAAACATGATTTACTAGTCTAAAAATACATACTTTTGTACTTATTTAAGCACATACTTTACACATAAAATAAAAAGTAAGAGTTCAATATATTAAATAGTACTTCTTTTTAAGTAAAATATTAAACAAAAGGTGTATTTACTTTTAGTTAATAATCTTATTTATTTAATAAATATACAAAAAGATATTTAAAAATCAATAGGGTTTATTAATAGGAATCTTCTATTGAAGAACATCTCTATAAAAATCTTTTTTAAATACATATTAATAATCTTAATATTTGAACACGTTTGTATTTTTTTTCCAACAACAAACTTTCGTATTTAATTATTTTAGATTTCAATATAATTTTATGCAAAATAATTTACTAAAAAACATGTAATAATGGTGGAAACTCTTAAATTCTTAATCATTTGGTTAATAAATGTCTTAGTATATGAAAAGAAAGAAATTCACAATCATTCGGCAATAAAAGATCAAAACTTTTAAATGAATAGACAAAGTCAAAATATCGTTTATTGATATAAATATTTTGTGGACATTTTGTTTAGTCATTAGTAAAACTTTAGGATTTTCAAGCTCAACTATGCTTACATCAAAGTTAGAAATAATCAATTTAATCCTCCAAACTCCTAAACTAAAAAAAAAAACAATTAATTAATCAACTTGATATTTAGGTTGGTATTAACTTTAAATCCCATTGGCAAGATATCAATCATTTTTTATAATATTAAAATTGAGAATAAAGTTTGGTGTAAGAATTAAAAAACATTATTACTACTTTCTCTGATTTTTTTCTCTCTCCCCTTTTGTTTTCTAGTGCGTTGCTTTCATAGTAGCCCATACATGGTTAACAAGTCATGTAAGATGACAAAAGAGAAAAGAAGACTTGAGAGAGGTCTAATAGGTGGTAACACAAGAAGAAGCAATCTCATAAATGTGTTATTTCGTCGTTTAAGTTGATGCCATTTTAAGTGGGGACCATAAAATGGAACACATTGAAAATGAAAGGAGCATCATAATATGAAAAGGGAATCCAACTATTGGTGTGCATGTCCCATCCCACTATAACCAAACAACAAGCTATGGTCGATAAGAAAATCAATGCTATGGTTCACAGCTACTTTGTGTCGGAACTTGAAACCTCTTTTATTATTCCATGGTATATGCCCCACTACTAAAGTTTACAGGAGTATTTTTTTTAAGCTCTCAATTTTCATCACTAAAAAGTGAACATCATTGTGCTCCCTGCTCTTCAAGAGACTGAGAGGAAAGCGATGTATTGGTATGAGTAGACAATAGACATGTTGCTTTTATAAGCTCTATAGCTTACCTCGTAAGCTATGTAAACTTTAGTGTTCGATTGGTGGTGGTTTGATAATTTCATGTGCATATTTTATGAGAAATAATGATAAAAATTGTGCCGAGTAAAATGTAAGATCTCAAGAAAGACCAAATAATAAGCGTTGAGAAGGTCACACCGAATCGATAAACATTCATCTTTGTCGAGAATATGTGATCACATCCTCCATCTTTGCCGAAGACACACGCTCACATCCTCCATCATATCTCACCATTGATATCTAATTGAATAGGTGAACATTCATCTATGTTGAAGACGTGATCATATCTTCCACTGTTGATATTTGATCAATCAAACATCCACATAAGATGTCAAATACATTCCAGTGATGATATTTGATTAAACAGTCATTCACATAAGATGTGAAATATATGCAGACAATTCTACCCGCTCATATATAAAGATTAGAGCATATCTTTTCAAATATTCAATTCATTCTCGCTTTCATTATTTTTCACTCAATTATTAATTTAAGCAAGAGTATTAACATTACAAATTCACCTTCTCTCCGCCATATCGAAAATTACTGCATCGTTACTAGACTTCATTCCACCCATACACAAACACAACTCCTTTCTTGTTCCCAATTCTTCCGCACTAATAAACATAAATAATTTTGTATATTTAAAAGATTTTTTTTTTTGTAATGGCTTTCACATCAAACTCATGGTCATAAAGAAAATACATGCGTTAATTAACAAGAATAACTCGTGAATAGAAGAGTACTTTTCAAGAGCTTCACTACTATTCTGTCAAACAGTGGAAGAACAAACAAAGCTATTGATAGTTATCATCAGGGGCATTCTATAATACAAGAACTGTGCTATACTCATTCATAGGGTTTATTATAAAATATTTTCTCATCTAGTATATGAGATTTTTTTAATTATAAGAACTAGTCCAAATATTGAAGAAAAAGAATTAACTCAGTTTATTCAAATATAAAATGTTCCTGTTTGTAGATGTTTCCCCCTATTGTACAGTGTACATGAAAACTCAATATTTAGGTAGTAAGAAAGTGATAAATTTTAGTAATACAAATGTATTTTAGGGCATAATATAGAAACCCCCAAAATGAGCATAAAGATAAGATTGAGAAGAATGAAAGAAGAATAGGGCAAACCAAATAAACTTACAGTATTGTAAAACCACTCTAGAGGCTCAATAGACTTAATAATAAACAGCTCCTTTGTTTCTCTTAGGGGTGGTTTGGATATTTTACTGATAGTACATGAGATTCTGGGCGGCGGCAACATTAGAGAATCCTGCACCATACCCAGCTCCAAGAGCACCCATTCCCATGGCTGCCTGCTTTAGAGCATGCTGATTCTGCTGTTGCAGAAGGGCGTGTGTGCCATTCATTTTGCTCAAAGCCATCTGGCGTTCATACGCTGCAAGACCGGCAAGTGAAAAACCTGGCACTGGTACATGCGGAGAAGCTGGTGGGGGAAGAGGAGTAGAGGCTGTTCCTGGAGGAGTTGGCTTGCTACCCCATGAACACTGCAAAATAACGATTAAAATTATCAGATAACAGGTATAACATTTTTCTAGAGCCTTTGATTATTATAAAGCTGTTTACCTTGATAGGTTTACCAAACAGAAACCGAGCATTACCCATCTGTATAGCAAGGGCTGCTTCACCATGAGTACTGTATCTGACAAACCCGAAACCTTTATCCCGTTGCACCCTAACATCTTCAATGGTTCCAACCCCGAGGGCATGAAAATGATGATGGAGATCGACAGAAGTAACCTGCAATTAATTAACAGAACATGAGAAAACAAGGCAATTTTAGAATAAACTGAATTCAGAGGACTCTGGTATGCATGTTATATATAACTTGCAATTCTAGGCTATGTTTATTTCATGAAAATATTTTCCATTTTCGATTTTCTAAATTGTGTTAATTTTACTTGCAAAGCAAACAATTATCTGCGCTTTTTGGAAACAATGAAAATGTCAAAAAATTTGTTTTCATTATTTTCAAAAACACATCACCCCAAACTATTATTCCATCTTCTCTCCATCACAATGGTCACTTTAAAAGTCTCACATCTTATAAGCATGTTAAAATTTACACATTTAGAATATGAAAATAGAAAAATGTTTTCAGATTAAACAGAACCATAATTTCTAAATATATACTGAAGCACTCTTTGTCCAAGCACACAGCTTTTAGAATAGTTTTGATACTGTATTAACTATACACATTTAAATAGACAGAAAAGCGCTCCCAGGTAAACATACAGGACTAGTAAGGTATAAATTGCCAGAAAACAATTTTAATCCTTGCCTCTGGAGCAAGATTGCCAACATAAACAGTGGTGTATTGGGGATTCTTCTCAGGACCGTCATCACTGATAATTTCTTGCCGTTCTTCTACAAAGTAAAAGCCAACCAAGAAGTGAAGATTATTCACTAAGCAAAACAATCAAGCAACTATTATAATAAAGAGTTGGAGAAATATCTATAGATGCAACAAAAACATCAACCACAACGTAGATATAAAAAAGAACCATACTATTGTAACAAATTCAACACCTTTAAAGCTATTATTTGGATAAACTCAGTGTTGTTAAATATCGATATCGGAAAATATCGGATCACCGAAAAACCGATATGAGAAATATTGGATCGTGTAACAGGCAATATCGGAAACCACAAAGCAGTATAACCAGAAATAAAAATTGAAAAAGTTAAAAACTTAAATTTCAAATTTCAAATCCAATAACTAAAACAGAAAAGCTACAAACAAAAATTTAAAAGGAATTAAAACTCAAATAGTTAAATAGTTCAAAACGAATAACAAATAGTTCTTCAAAGTCTAAATAATGATAAAAGATTTAACTACTCTCATTTTCCCCTTCCCCTTCCCCAACATAATCATCATTCTCCTTTTCAGACAGTGTGGCATATCTTTCAGCTTCTTCAATTGAATCAATATCCTCAAATTCAGCTTCTGATTCTTCGATGATAGGATCTTCCACTGACTCAGTAGCCCACAATTTCCTTTTTCAAAGTTTCTAGATTCTACTTTTCCACCTCTTCACCTTACCTTGATCTTTAATGTTTCTACTTTTCCACCTCTTCACCTTACCCTCTTTAATATTTCTACTTTTCCACCTCTTCACCTTACCCGCTTAATGATTTTAAAAATGATTTATTATAAAAAAAAGAATAATAAAAGTATGGCTTCCGATATTCCATTCATAACCGGTATACCAATATACCAAAAAATCGCCGATATCGCGAGCATCGCGAAATTGAAACAGTATACTGACTTTCATATATCGGATTGCCAAAATTCCAATACGCAATACCGGTATACTGGCGGTTAGGGGTGGAAATAGGCTGGACCGAGCTAGGCTTTGCCAAACCTGAGTCTGGCCTGTTAAAAATTTCAAAGCCTAAGTCTGGCCTGTGGCCTATCAAAGGCTTGTTTTTAGGCCTGAGCCTAGCCTTTTCGAATGCCTGATTGACTTATTAGCATGCTTAAAGCCTATTTTATTTGAACATTTTCAAATAAGCAATTCGACTAGTGTTAAAATAGACTAACAAATTAAAAGATCAATTAGACTAAATGCTTATTTGCATTGACTTATTCAAGTTTACCTATTAACACGTGTTTTGTGATACTGTTTGTTTAAGAGAACTTAGGAAAACAACTTATGGCATTGTTCATAAAGTATTTTTAGCTTATTTTCATAAGTCCTTATAGATAACTAAACTTTATTCTAGTATTTTAATTTAAAATACAAACATCGTATAATAATAATAATAATAATAATAATAATAATAATAATAATAATAATAATAATAATAATAATAATAATAGTAGTAATAATAACAATAATAATAACAATAATAATAATAATAATAATAATAATAATAATAATAATAATAATAATAATAATAATAATAATAATAATAATAACAATAATAATAATAATAATAATAATAATAATAATAATAATAATAATAAAAATATTCATATTTATTTGAATAGGCCGGTCTTATAGACTTAAAAGTTTTTTTTTTTGCGGCCTATGACCTAGCATTTTTAACTAAATAGGCTTGTAAAAAAGCCTAAGCCTTTTCTATTTAAAAAAAGAGTCTGGCATGGCCTGGGACTATGTAGGCTAGCCTGTAGGCCCCTGTTATTGGCCTGACCTATTTCCACCCCTACCGGCAGTATACCGGATATTTAACAACACTGGATAAACTCCATTAGAAAATCATCTGAAGCCAACTCCCATATTTGATATAAACAAAAAGGCTTAAAATTTACTTTCAATTGGAATATTTTTAAAAACAATGGGGCGGTAACAGATTACATCAGATATCACTGAATAGTTTATAGGTGTTTCAAAAAAAGGGCAATTGGAACTAGAATCCAATGAGCTCTAAAGCTAACTGCATAAGACAAGTAATAAAGAAAAAAATGATAACACCCCTAAAGGAATCTTAGTGTAATAAACCTGTGATCTCCCCGGAAACTCCACTAGCTAACTCCACAACAACTTTGCAATCTGAACTCTGCTTTTCATCATTGGTATTAGCTCCTTTTGTGGCCCAATTACAACGAATTTGTCTACTGCCAAGCCATTTACCTGAAGTGTCGGAGGAAAAAATTAAAAATTTCTGTCAACTGAAGCACGATATGTAATTAAATAGGCTCTGATACCAAAATATAACCCCCAAGGCCTATATTAAGGCATTACTAAAGTCCTTCAAATTTAACATAAGAATTTCATCGAACATTAACTAAAACATGTGTAAAATCCACAAAGTCTATGAATACCATGATAGATAATAATTCATAAACCAATTTGACTCTTAAAAGAGACTCCCTAAACAACGACTCATGACATGATCCGGTAATTGACCTGGCTTGACATTGGATGGCTGACAAGTAAATCCGGAATACTCCTATGTTTTCAAATGTTAATGGGCATCTGAAAATATCTTATACATTTTTATTATATTCTATGCTATTGAGCTTTATATAACTCACAATGTTTGGGTGTTAATTCAATGAGCATCCAATTAGAATTATTGCTAATTTACTGCTACTAGCGAGGTGATGACTTGAATACCAAATGTTTAGGGTTCCAAAATAACTGATCAGAGTGTTTATTTGATACTTCAGCATAAACAACAAGACTATGGATTATAAGGTTTTAAAAAATTCACATCTTAAAAGTTGAAAAAATACAAATGATATTGTATCAATTACAACACACACATACACACAAACAGAGAGATTTCACACTTCTGACTACATTGAAAATGAAAGACTAGCAATTACAAGATAAAAATATCTTACCAGTTAACTCGTTTATGGCACTTTGGGCTTCCTGATAAATTACATACAAAACAAAGTCACCCAAACATTAGCATGGCTAGCACACAAATAACAAAGACAGAAAGATAACAAATGTAAAACTGAAGATTTCATTCATGCCTGCTGAATTCGAAAAGAGACAAATCCAAATCCCCTGGATCGGCCTGTCTTCTGATCCCACATTACCCTAGCATCTCTGCAATAAACAGCTTATAAGTGTCTTGATATTAATGAGTGAATTGATTTCAGACACACATTCAAGTGTAAGTATTTCTGACAAAATACCCCATTAGTAAACCAGGTTCTGGAATAATAAAAACAACCGAGTCTTATCACACTAAGTGGAGTCGGAACAAATATTAAAAAGAAAAGAAAAAAATATAAAGGGTGTATAAAACTTACGAGCAACTAGAATACACAGAGAAGCAAGCATACAGAGTTGCATCTGTAACCTCGGGACTAAGGTCACCAACAAAAATATGAAAGTGTCCTAAATCCAAATCAATAGTAAAAGTAAATTTGTAATTCACAAGAGGCAGACAAAATTAACTCCAAAAGTCCATAGTTGGCAGAAATATAACCTGAAGTGTCTTCTCTCTGGCCTCGAGTATAAGCCCAGTTAACTTTGATGGACTGTCCAAAACTGCAGACAACGTGTTAAAGCCATAAACTAAGAAAAGTCGTTCCATTAACTAAAACTAAACTACACATACATATTCCTCCCGTTGAGAGTTACAATAGCAATAGCAGCTGAACTGCGATCAAAGTAGTCCACAAATCCATATGATGACTGCAGATGACAATATAAAGCAAACCATCATGTTAGAAACAACAACACAAAAATTGCATCACATGAAAAAACTTATATGGCACAGTCTAGTGAAATAATTTTTTGTCAGTACTCTCTGGTCTTATAACAAATGCATATTTTGCAACATTTATACACCGCAAATTGTTAAATTCAAGTGAGTGGTTAAGTCCTACATCGACTAGAAATGGAGATAATGTTAGATATATAAGAGAAAGAACCCATACTCTCATTGCCTTAAGATTTTGGGTGGATATGTAGTGTCAAAATCTCTGGGATTCTACTCATTGACACTTGCTTTCTGGAGTCCTCAACACAAACTATATGTCACTTTAGAATAGCAACGCAACATTTATTAATTATTTTTACTAATGTACTCTTATTTATTATATTTCAACTCACTAACTACTCCACTAGTAATAACTAATGGTATTTTAGTAAATGAAATTTACTTTATCATTGTTTTAAAAAGTGTGTAAAACTCAAAGGAGAACTTTTTTTACAAGCCTCAAAGGGGCACTTGAAATACAAAGGGATTAAACAATTGGATCTTAACATAGCTAACAAAAATAGTTAACTTTTGCAACTTTATCAATCCTTCCATTTAACTTCTATATGAGATCATTATCAAGAAAGCTAACCTTCTCTTTCCGAATAAGCTTGCAACCTTCAAGCGCACCAGCACTTGAAAAAAGCTCTTGAAGAAGTGGCTCTGTAACCTGAGGATGAATGTTGCCCACATAGCTGCGTTTCCTCAAAAGTGATTAGATATACAAAACACAAAACATAAAAGCAAAGAAAAACCAACTGAAAAAGTAGAATAAATTGAATCCACCGACTACAAAAAAGTAGAAACTTGAAAAAGAAAGAATAAACTAGGCTAAAGATTATCTTAGAGGAAATGAAGTCAACAAGATACTTAATAATGCTAAACTGGGTAAAAATGACTAGCTTAAAAAAAAAAGTGAAATAAAAATGTCTATTAACACTCACACACTGCGGCAAGTACTCGAATCAAAGCCAGGAGGCAGATTTCCACTCAAGATAGGCTCTATCTGCAAAATCAAAAAGTAAAAAAAATCCTAAAATCAAAAATATGCACTCTCCTCTCTACTAATCTAATCAAATAAAATTCAACTATACATAAATACCAAAGATTTAATCAAATTCAAACATACACAAAATCGCAGAGTAATTTACCTATAAAGTTTTTAGGAGATAAACACATGGGAATTATGATCGAGCAAATAGCAAATAATTGAAGTGAAAACAGAAAATCATAAGAATAATTGATTATGAAGAAATGAAGCAGAAAAAGCAAAACCAGCAATAAGTACCTGCGGAGGAGTGATAAGAGCTGGATGATGGTAGAGAGAGTGTTGCATAATTGGATTCTGTCTTAGCTTTTGAGGTAGCATATTCAGTTCTAGGGTTAGGGTTGAAGAGGTAAGAGAATCAAAGGAGAGTCAAAATTGAAATGGAAGAGAAAAGAAAAGAAGAAGAAAAGGGAAAAGAAAAAAAAAGGTAAAAAAAAAAAAAGAAAAAAGAAAAACCCTCGAAAGAGAGGGTGAAGAGAAATGACAGACAATGAAAAGAAGATGAAGATGATACTGGATTGTGTTAGGGGGACTGTTATGGAGTCAGAGTTTGCCTTTAATATAGTGAAGGTCTTTGAAAATAGTGAAGGTCTTTGAAAATATAATTAATAAATTAAATTAAAAATGGGAAACACGGAAAGCGATATGCTACTGTCGGGACCATGATAGAGTCGTTTCGGTGAGCCTAACTACCTACTGCTGGGCATAGGATTTGAATGGGCCGTATAATTAGTGGAATTCTTTGTCCATTTCTTTTGCCACCTCTACACCTGTAAGAACCTTTTTAAATATTTAAGGGTGTGTTTGGTGTTAGGGGTGTTCATAGATATGAACTTACTTATGAATTTGTTGATCCAAACCGAACTAATCTATGCATTGTTTATGGATATATCAAGCTCAATAGTAATAATCTGGATAGTTTTGATTTAGGTATTGGGTTTGAATTTCTCATCAGCCAACTTGTTGACCTAATCTGTTGATGTGACGAATTCTTTTTTATTGAGTTTAATAGATATGCATCGACAGTGTAAAATAGTTTTACATTGTCATCCAATAAAAAACCAACAGTCTATCATATCATTAATAAAATTTTAAAATAAAAGTGTGATGTGACAGGATACATGGTCGTTATTGGTTGACAGTGTAAAATTAATTTATAATGTCAGTGTATATCTAAACTATGATTATTTAAAATTGAATCTTTCTAAATTAAAATAAAAAATATTTGATCAACATCAACTTAATTTTCAAAATAAAAAGCATTGACATCCTGCTTGGTTTATTTTCAATTCACAAGACAGGAACTCCCCTCATGATTGCTTCGATTCCACCCTTGAAAACCTCCGACACACATAGTTGGTGGCCCCTTCGAAGGACATGTATTGATGGATTTAAAGGGGAATACGCGGGTGTTTCCATTCGAAGGATATACCTTGTTGGCCCGTTCGAAGAAATTGCAAGTGATATGCACAAGTGATGGAGAAACTTTGATCGTGTGAAAATCATCAAACACGTAACACATTCTCAAACCCGGAATCAAAAGACCACGCCCTTGTTTATGTTCCTTTTGAATCCAACACTAGAAACACAACACTTGTTTCTTTTCCCTTTCGAATCCAGGAGCAGCCCCCACACTTTGTTCTTTCTTTCGAATCCAGCAAAAGAAACACTACACTTTTTCTTTTCCTTTGAATCCAAAAACAACAAATACAACTCCACTCTTCTTGGCCTTCGAATCCAGTCAAAGAAACATCACACTTGTTTCTTTCCTTCGAATCCAGGAGAATCCAGGGCAGTAACTCAAGGTCCAACACATACATTTCAGTGTCAAGCAAGGTAAGTCACCCTGACCTTAACCCTTTTGTTTCAAGCAAGTAAATGACATTTGTTTATTTTTCGTTTCTACCTTTTTCGTTTGTTTTTCTTGTCCAAATATATGATAGGACTAACTTGTACAGACTCAAACAAGAAGAAAAAAAAAAGAAAACAAAACAAAGCTTATTGAATCAAAGCCTTAGGCTTCGCCCCTGGCTGCTTCACACTCACAAAAGAAAGAAAAAGAGGGCGTGAACGGAGGATGCACACTCATGTTGCTTTGCAGGCCCATATTATTTCACAGTCCAAACGAAAGAGAAAGAAGGGAGAAACGAAGGGTGATCACACTGACTTCCAGGCCCCAATCGAAAGAAGGACAAAGGGTGTATTCGAAGGGTGCTCATACTGATTCCCAACCTCAATCGAAAGAAGCAAAAGAAGGGTGAACCAAAGGAGCCTACTGCTTTAATCAAAGGACTCACTTTTGCTCTCTTTTTATGTTATTTATGTTTTTCTTTATATTTTCTTCCTATTCAATATGGTTGTAATGGGGTAGGATCTTTATTTTCCGTGTTTTTATTGCTTTCATAAATGTTAATAATTAGGGTGTGTGATACGGTGGCAGAACTGACTGTTATATATTGATTTACGTTTTTTGTTCGTAAATGTCGCGATAAGCAAGAGTCGCCACCGTTTTTTTATTTTATCCAACAAAGAAAAAGGGAAAAAGAACAGAAAAAACCTTTTTCGAGATGTTTCTGAGTACGGGGGGTAGATTATAGAAAGGGAAGGTGTTAGCACCCTTTCTATCCATGGTTTTCCATGGGATATTAGGTACTTGCTCATTTTGAAATTGCTTTTGTGTGTGTCTTGAAAATACCTTAGTGCGGCGTTTTACTTTATGGTAACCCTTGTGTCAGTCCTCAAGAGTGTGATAAAGCGTTTTTGAAAGCTTTGTTCGAAAAGTGTAAGTGTGAAAAAACTGGTTGTTTTGAGCAAGTACTTAAGAGTTTCTACCTACTCGAAAAAGACTGTTCGTTTTCTTATTTCCTTTAGAAAGTGTTATCCTACTATTAAGGAGTAGGTAGCTCCATCGTTGGAGTTTGAGGGACAATCGAAAGGGACGATTACGATCACTTAAGGCAACAGGGCAAGATCTCTTAGTAGTTGTCCTAAAGTTCTAAGATCGCATTTTGTTTTACCGAGGCAACCTTCGAAAGGCACTTGCGATCTATGAATTAAAGGACAGTCACTAAGAATTCTCACGTTCGAGAATAGTGCCCGTATTTCTGAGGCAACCGAAGTGGGAGATATCCTAGAGGTGAGCATGTGCAAGTGTTTGATTTCAGTTTATTTATCTTTGCACAGTTAGGGTGTTCTACTGTTTTAATTATTTAATCTTTCCATTCAATCCTATGATCATTCATCTAACAGCTAATAGTAGCGAAAAAATAAAATGTGAGAATCTTAAACCTAGCTATTACAAGGCTTTCGGGAGAGGGTTACATAACCAAACTTGGGGGAAAAGCGGTAAATAAAAGCAGTAATAAACCTAAGTTAAAAGCTATTACAAACTCAAAAAAGATACAATAATTGGAAAATAAAATGAAAATAAATAAGCGCGCAAAAAAATTAAGACGAGAATAAAGTCTAAGTCATAAAAAAAAAACTTATCAATTAAAGAGAACATATTTTTGTCTTTTTTATGTTAAAAATATTTGAAAACTTAACCTAAATCTAATTAATTTTTATTTAATAAAAATGATCAAATTATAATAATCAAATTAATTAATTTTTTCCAGAAAATTAATTTTAATTATAAAACCTAATTCTATTTGTTGATTTTTTTTATTTTTTAATTATTAAAAAAATGAAGTTAAGACAATTAAAATAAAATAACAATAAAGAAATAAAGACAAAAAAAACGAATGGGCCTGATATTGTTTGGCCAACTGGGAGGTGTGAATTGGAATTTTTGCAAGGCCCAAAGGCGCTGGCCCAATTGCCAGCGTGCATTCCAGTGTGATCATCCTTCAGGGAGTGCACCATGGATCTTCAATTCTGGAGCATTGGATCTGCTTTGAGATGATCCACATGGTGGGATCTGAGGACGTATGGTGGTCCTTCTGGGTCATAGCGCATTGGATCCTGCAAGATTTAATAAGAAAACACAAAACTGCATGGACCTGGGATCGAACCCAGGTCCTTCCTGTTAGAACAAAGTTTGAATCTACTACCCTAAGTTTAAGTTTTGATGATAACAAAATGAAAAGATATATTAATTATATGATTCATGTAAATAACTATTTGCTACCTAAAAATTACTTTCTGTTTTACATAAACTCTGATGCGTATCAGCAAGAGTACATCATAATCAGCATCAGAATATTGGATATCAACATCAGCATCAGAAGATGTTATATCAGATACCAGAATCAGAAGATCAACTTACGCTTATGCTGAAGCTTGATGAACAGATCTGCGCTTAACACTCTGATCTCTGATAAAGACAACAACAGTTCATCAGCACCTAAGCAGCGTCAGAATAAGCCAAAGCCAGAACACGCTTAAGTGGCAACGGTACTGTGCATTCAAAATGAGTTATTACCAACGGCATCATTCCAGACAAGATCTGCTTATTAAGGAAAGAATGTTATTGGCATTGAAACAGAATTATTGCTCTAACGTACACTATTTCCAATGCTATATAAACAAGTCAATGAAGATTGAATTGGCTAATGCTCTACAATAATCTACACGCCTAAAAGCTATTCATCATCTTCCTCACTCTCAGTTTGCTAAAAGCTATCAAATTCCTTACTCAATTATTTTAGCACTCTAGTTCTCTTAAGCTTAATTTGTGTAGTATCACAGTTGTGATAAACAGTTTTGTAGAAAACATTCACACACCTAGATTTCAATTCTTTGTAAGAAAGTATTTCCTTGAGAAATCGGCTTGTGGTTTGCATCAAGAAGGCGTTAGCAGTTGTTAAAGCAGATTGTAATATTCAGTTGAATATAGTGGATTAAGACCTCGTTGGAGAGAGGCGAAATCACCTTGACGGGTGGACTGGAGTAGTTTGAGATCAAACGAACCAGGATAAAATATCGTGTTGATTGTAATTGATTTCCAGTTTTTACAATTCAACCCCCTTGTGTTTTTCACTTCTTCAATTGGCATCAGAGCGCCTGGTTCTGAGCTAAAACACTTAACCGTGTCAGTACAAGATCCAGCGTCAGAAAAACACAATGGCAGGAATTTATCAACACACCAGCAATGACAACAATGAAGACAGAGACAGATTCAGCGGCAAACCTCCAGTCTTTGATGGAGAAAATTTTGATTACTAGAAAGACAGAATTGAAAGCTTCTTTCTGGCACATGATGCTGATCTGTGGGACATGGTGACAGATGGATACACGCACCCTGTGAATGCAAGCGGTCAGAAGATTGATAGGAAAGCAATGTCTGACCAACAAAAGCGTGACTTCAAAAATCACCACAA